TCTGTCTGTGTGGGTTTGAGTGTGGATGTGGGCTGGTATTAGTGGATGTGTGGGTGTAGGTGAAGAGAAGCCTTAAATATCTACAGCAATACGCACAATCAGAGTCATATCCACCCATCTACACCCACACCGGTACCACACCGTCACACACCTGCACCCGCATCCACACCCACACTCACACTCACACTCACACGGGATCTACATAAATACCAATCGACACCGGCACCCTTCGATCAGTGCAATGTGTAGAAAGACGTGCTGATCTCTCATTGATTTTTTTCGACTATTTACTACGGCTGTTTGCTTACACAGGATACTTTTATTAGGTGCAATATTAACAGAAAATATGATCAAACCACTCGCACATTCCGAATATTTCACGTTTTCAGGAGACTCGTATCGTTTTTTAAAAGTTCTTATGCAAACGAAATTATTTTGCTCGCAACGTTACGACGATAAAGTGGAGTACCAAAACTGAAGGAGATAAGACGAATCCCATAAATCGATCGATGATGACGGACTGTGAAGCTGTACCTTAAGAATAACGAGAAAATGTTCAATTAAACACGTATAAAGATGGACAGAACTCACCACTAGTGCATGAGCTCTTGTCAACAGCAAACTTTTGAATTCGATGATTTGAGAAATCACTTACATACAAATTTCCATTTCGATCAAAAGCCAAATCGTATGGATGATTGAGTTGTGTGTTGAGATTACCTTGGCCATTACCACCAGCAATAACTGTACCGCTTTGAGCTTCTTTCAGCCAACGTGTAATTCGATGATTGCCATAATCAGCTACATAAACTGTGCCCGACTGATCGACAGTGACAGCAAGAGTACCATCTAGTTGATTCAATGCGCTACCGTTATCATTTCCACCAGCAACGATAATGGCACTCGTCGCCCAAACACTATTGTTAGCAATCCATTTTGTCACTCGATTACTGAAATATTCAGGTACAAAGATAGATTGTTGCTGATCAATATGCATCTGATATGCTGTAAATTAAAGAAAGAAAGCGAAATCGAATATAATTAGATCTTGAATGAGGACACTCACGAGTAAGAATTTGTTCTAAAGAAGTACCTGGACCTTTGCCTCCAATCACGACTTGTCCGTTACCGGTTCCATTCTTATTAAACTTGAGAATACGTGCTTCAGACCAATCACCCACAAATAAGTGTTGAGTTTCTCCTAGTGTAGGCCCGAGAGCAATTCCGTTGACATAAATATTCGAAATGATTATCTCTCCACTTCGAGCTCCTTTCTTCCATCGATTCACTCGTTTGTTAGTGTACTCAGTAATAAACAATGTCCCTTCCTGATCGACTGCAACATACCGAGGCAATGCAAGTTGATCACTTCGATTACCAACTCCATTACCGCCAGCAATTATTTGACCACTCGATGCGCCCTGTTTCCATTTCACTACGCGTCCATTACCATTATCAACAATAATAAGAGCATCACCATCATTGGAATCCACAAAAAGTCCAAAGGGATTACTCAATTGATTGAGTGCAGAACCGAGACCGTTTCCACCTGCAACGGTCTTACCGATGGATGCCCATGTTGCAGTTTCACAAATTCCATCGTCTATAAGCAATTCTAGTGACATTTGAAATTACTTTTAGAAATAAATTTCATACAAGGGATCAAAATTTGTTGAGCATTCGCCAACACATTTGAGAACGTGAAAAACATTATCACTAAAGAAACTGTTCGCATCACTTGGAATAGTGACATTACTATCTGATGAATCTATTGCGTATTTGATGCTCTGACAATTTTTCCTACTTGTTTCTGCCTAGTAAACCACTGGGAACGTCAATCTACACCGTTTTCTAAAAGACCGATCAAACAACAAAACATATAGCAATATACAAGAATATGAGACGAAAATGTTATGTTTGTCATCTTAAGCTCTTTGAAAAATATTGACATGTTCTCTGTTCGTTAGTTTCTTTTTTGCATGATATCATAAAGTTGATAAGCGGTTTTACAGGTTGCATTTTGAAAGGAAAAGAACGAAACATACGTTCGTTGTTATTCATTCTATAATGATAGAGAAAATGAACACAGAACTATAGTTATTTAATAGGCGCTTGATGGAATGGCAAAGGACATCTTTATCTATTGCGCGTTGAGAAGAATCGAGGAAAGACATGATCAGCTAAATGATTTTGCTTTAATCAATTTGTGTTTTTGAGAGCTTGGATGGACAGAGATCATTCGTGGATGCGTCAAAGAATATTGTACAGAACCAGCAAAAACTGCTCGTAACTAGTCCTACGTGTGTCTGACATTCGCAAAGAACAGAAAAAAATAGTTCACTTACACAAAGATGTATGCTTTCTATGTGAGATTCAAACAATTTTTCAGATTCCTACTGATTCACGTTTGATCGAGAGAAATAAAAGAACGTATAGGAAATGTAATTTTTCATGGGAAATAACATCGAAAGGCATTAAATTCTCTCTTTGAAGTATTTTATTCTTCAATTAGAAATATAACACTTTAGGTAAATATTGTATTTAAATGTTGTGCTCTGTTGCATACATATATTCTCCACACTTTGAATTTGTGCGTGGATTGATGTAGATTTTAGATTGACTTGCCTACTTACAATTGTTTAACATCCACTTGCTACTCATAAATTATTTCATTGAAAGATTAACTATTTCAACAACACCTTTAGAAACTGCTTGAGAGATTCATCTGAGGTATTTACCAAGTTAAATATTTATTACTCATTCATGAGTCAAACACCAATATTTGCTTGCATCTGACATGATAAAAGAAAGGAAGTAAAGAGCGAATAACATGTAGTATATTTGCAAAGAGTAACTAAAGTGCGTTATTTATTAACACGATTCATAAGCAATGAGGACAATTTCTTTCGCTGTATTGTTAATTAGGTGAGACTTTTTTGGACTATGTCCATCTTTAATGAAAAACATTTTACTGATACATTTTTATTTTTCCTTTCTAGCTTTTCGGGTATGTCACATTGCAACATAAATTTTGTACCATTCTAACAGCAAACACAGCAGTTTTTAGTAGGAACTTTTTATGTTGATAATATGAGCACCTTGACAAGCTCGAAATTGATGAACGATTCCGTGATTTTTTTCCAAGTTATTCTTTGAAAAAATTTCATGCAATGTGAACGCGTAGTATGAACCAGTTTCTATCTTAAAAATGACTTATTTTATAGGAATTGAATTTTACCCTAACGAAAGAAAAATCGCTACGGTGGTTTTTTAAATGAAATGCTTTTTCCACTCAAAACTCGTTTTACTTCAGCTCTAATGATCGCAATAAATTTATAGTTGCATTCTGTTCCAAATAAGCCCTAAAACCCCACAATTAGCCTTGGCATTCCATAATTTGACTCATTTTAAGTTCAACTATGAGAAGTGCAATAAGTGTTAATATGACATCGAGCTTCCGGACCTGAAAATTTCCGTTAGATATATTCAGAGGTTAAATGAATGATTCGTTCTTGATAGATTGTTTCAATACACAGGCAATTAGTTTAATTATTCTATTTGATTGCATGTTCATTTTCTATTGATCTACAAATGCTGAGGAAACAATAAAAAATGTTAAGAGCATATTTCATTAGCTCTTCCAATATGGTTTTTATTTCTTCTTGGAAAGCTGACCGAGAAAGAAAATCATTTTTTGTTTGGATCCTATCGACTTACTAATAAAAATTGCTGTACTTTTGCTTTCAGCTTTGTCTTTCTCACTTGCACAATCCAACGATAGAATATGTGCGAGCGCCAAATGGGTAGCAGACGCTATTACTGTAGCTGGAAACCATGGTAATGGTTCGGAACTCAATCAAGTGAATCCGAATTATTTGCATGTTAATTATCGTGATGGTTCGATATTTATTACTGACTGGTGGTTTGACAGAGTAGTCAAATGGGAAGAACGGGCTTCGAATGGTCATATAGTGGCTGGAGGAAAGGGTAGAGGAAATGCAAGCGATCAGTTGGGCGGTCCTGTGGGTATTCGAGTTGATGCCGACGAAGCATTGACCGTTTGCGATGGGCAAAATAGACGAATACAGCGCTGGAAGAAGAATGCTTCCAGTGGAGAGACTATTCTGACGAACACTTCATGCCGTGGGATAGCATTGGATAACGAAGGTGCATTATATGTAGTTGATTGGACTCAATTTCGTGTTGTGAAATGGCAGGCGGGTGTGGCAGAGGTCGTTGCTGGTGGTAATGGTCAAGGAGCTGGTTCCAATCAATTGAACAATCCAATAGGTATTTTCCTGGACGAGAATCGAGCACTCTATGTTGTAGATCGATCGAATCATTGTGTCACTAAATGGGAACCAGGTGCAAGAGAAGGCACTATTGTGGCAGGAGGTAATGGTCAAGGTAATAATTCGAATCAGCTTGATTCTCCGACGGGAGTTTTCGTTGATACTAAGGGCACTGTCTATGTAACCGACAGACTTAACAATCGTGTAGTGCGATGGTCCAAAGGAGCTACCGTAGGCATTGTTATTGCTGGCGGAAATGGTGTCGGTAATGGGTCAAATCAATTGAATGGAGGGTTTGATTTATCATTTGATCGCCATGGCAACTTGTACGTGACAGACGATGGTAATTTCCGTGTACAGAAGTTCCTGTGTGAAGGTACATTGTATTCTGACAATTGCATTTACATTGATCTTTTCGATTTGTTTTAGGAGCCGAATCAGCATCCAACCAGTTCTACTTCAATTTTGTTTTGTCGGCTTTTTGTTTTTTGCTTTATCTTTACATGTGACTCTTTTAAATCGGATTCCAAGCGCTCGAATTGTGTTGTAATGATTTCTTACTTTTAATTGATATCCTTTTGTGAAAAAAAAGAAGAAGAAAGCGTTTTCCTTATTTCTATGCGATGTAATATGGCGAGTAATTGTCGGTTCTACATCATGACATCGATGATAAAATTTTGCTTTTCAAATTGTTTACTAGAACTGATTGGCGCCTATTTTTAACATGATTAGTAGTAAAAATGATGACACTTTTTGAAACACAAATTGTTTGTTTGTTCATTTAAAGGAGACGATTGTTAAAAGCTAACATTTCCTTTTAATCAGAAGAAATCATCTTGAACCATATATTTTTGCAATCTCTCAACGACTAAAGCGGCCGAATAGTTCCCGGAGATTTTCCATCGATGCAAAGGAACAAGTTCAACATTTCCATGAAGAATGGTTGACACTCGAGAGACGAGCTAATCACCAGATGAATATTATGTCGAACAGACTCATCTTTTACCTTCCTCAAAAACTAATATGATTGATTTTTGTAGAACTCATTATAGAAGCTCGTCAGCGCAGCTCCGATGGCGCTAAAATACAGAACTCGTGTCAGAACGCCACATTAACAAACAAGAAAGCTTTCAGTGGAATCCTTATGAAAATAAAATGCCAAATACGATGCAGTCGTTTCATATGGGCACAAACATCCATGTCATTTTCATCACAATTCGCTAGAACGTTCAGCAAAATACTCCAATTTTCTCAAAAGTCCAATAGTTTAAGGTCATAAAATGACATAATATCAATATCGAAAAATCCGAATTTCATTGGTTCAAAAATCCATTGTACTATAGTCCGAAAATCCATAGGAGAGCGCGTAGAGTGCCGGTATGGTTCTGGACGTTGGTGCCAGTATGAGTGGATGTTGGACATCCCGTGTAGATCTCCTTGTACGTATTGGTGTAGATATTTGAGATGTCTTTTCACCCATACCTACATCAAAACTCATACTAATACCCACACTCACACCCACACCCACGCCCATATCCTCAAGCTCGAAGTAGCATTAAAATATGTCAATATTTGCAAGGAAGTTGTCAAGTATTTTTTATCATGAACGTCCACTCGAAGGCGCATAATCTAATACTTTTATAGCATTATTAACTTTATTGTCGTTTAAATGTTTATTGCCTTTTTTAAAGTTCCGATTTGATATTTGTATATGAATCATGACATTGGTAACACGATACGAGAAAAACAAGAAGTTTCACATGCATCGTTTTGGTAAAATAGAAATAGAATACATATGGTAAATATTGACTCATAAATATGATGATTCCTATGTATATCGATATCATCGAATGCTTGAAGAACATAATTTCAAGAAATGTTTTTTCAGAAAAATGTCTGCGACTAAACGAGTCAAATCTAGTAAAAGGTGACCATACTTGTAAAGGTTTACTAACAGTTCCGCAAACGATACTTGCTCGCAAACGTGTTTCCACGCGGAGATGGGTATGAATGAGAGTGGGTAGGTGTGGGTGTGAGTATGGATGTCCATATATTGGGTGTGGGTGTGGGTGTGGGTGTGAGTGTGGGTGGGTGTGGGTGTGAGTGGGTGTGGGTGTGTGGGTGTTGGTGTGGGTGGGTGTGGATGGGTGTGGGTGGGGGTGGAGGTGGGAGAAGAGAAGATTAGAACTTACACCCACCCACACCCCCCCCCCACACCCACACCCTTCCAATCTCAATTCAGCACGTAGATATATTTTACTTTTATAAGAATACTATTCAGCTCTACTTTTAGTCTCCATCACAAATTTCTAAAGAAGATAGTCCTACACATTTTTATCAAATGCGGGTGGGTGTGAGTGTGGGTGTGGTTGTGGGTGGCTGTGGCTGTGAGTGTGGGTGTGGGTGGAGGTGGGAGAAGAGAAGATTAGAACTTACACCTACACCCACACCCACACCCACACACCCCCCCCCCCCC